AGTCCAGACTCCGTGGTAGCCAGCGACATCAGTGAGCGGGCGAAAACTACGGAGGATGGCACCCAGGGTAGTATAATGGTACGGTCTAAAAACAGGTCGGTTATTTTGATATAACCGACCACTTTTGATGTGATGGCCTGGATAACCTGTAGGAAATGGAGCCTTCTGATTGGTCGACGTCTTCAGTCTATATGATAATATACAGTAATCGTTAAAATCCATGTTAGTGATGATGACGATACCTTTGTTATTAACATCCTCATAGGAAACAGACATGGCTCTGGGGTTGATTATCGCCTCACCGAGGGAAGCAGTCATCGACTTTAGCGCCGTGGTGCTAGACGATCGGCTGGAGATGTTGGTCAAGAAACCTGAGGTCGGTTATAATCATAGTACATAATGATTAACTTTATTCTAAAAACAGGATACACAAGGATAAAAAAATTTAACGAACGCATTCGCCTTCATTGGGGTAAATAACAAAGGGTTAATGCCCCGCCCCGAGGTGTATATGGTAAGATAATCCCCAGTCAGATGCGATTACCACCGAATAAATCAACGAGTGTGCGTAGGGATATATCACCATATACACAGAGGATAAGGCAGGGGATTAACGTTTTTATCATTCAGCCTACCCAAAACACCTAGGTCACACCCGTTAGGTCACAGCAAGTAAATTGTTTGGATGACATACTTTGCAGACTCGCAATTTGTTAGATTATTCTGTATTTTCTGTATTTTTAGACCACAAGAAGGGAATGGTGGAGAGTCATCATGCCCATTCCTGTATGGTTGATGGTCATGGGGTCGTTTCTCCTGGCCGCCATCGTCATGTTCGTCATCATTCGGGTCAGTCCGTACGAGAATCGGGCGTACTCGACAGAGGTCGGCGAGGCAAGCCGACTGTCTACCTTCGGGCACAGCCTGTGGATCTGCTACAGCGTGATGAGCTGGCAGGGGGTGGACTACTCGCCCCGATCCGTGTCCGGGCGCTTTCTCTTCGTCTTCTGGTTCGGCTTCATCGTCTGGACGCTCATTCTGATCACGGGCGCCATCGCAGGGTTTTTCCTCGCCAGCCCGGCCGCTTTCCCCGTGGTCCCCATCGAGTCCTTTGATGATCTGGCGGCAACAGACGGCATACGGCCGGCCTTCTACGGCGGTGGAGCAACCGAAATGTTTTTCAAGAACTTTCCGTCGACGTCCTTTCAACGTCTTCTTCAGAGGGCGATTCGGGTGAGCTCCACGGATGAAGGGTTAAAGCTCGTGCGCGGGGGAGGAGTGGCCTTCATCACCGAGTCATCCGTGACTCAATTCTACAGCAACGTGAAGCCGTGTGATCTAATGGCTATTCACGACGGCAGCACCGAAACGACAAGGTACCAGGCTATCGGACTGCCAGTGGGGTCTCCCTTCAGGGAGAAGCTCAACATCGCCATCATGCACCTGAGGGAGAGTGGCAGACTGCACGTGCTGTACAGGAAATGGGTTGTAAGTGTAACAAAAATGTTACCTTTTTATTCAAGAAATAAATAATTCACAAATAATACTGTCACAGCTATATAATTTTGTTGACACCATTGTACATGTGTCTTTGGGCGAAAATGATGTCCTTAGTAGGAAGTATGCTTTGCTGTGATTGTAATAATTTTTTGACAAGATACAGTGTTATAATTATGTATTTCAAGTTTGTGCATTCCTAATACAACAACAAGAATTCCGAGATCTCATACCTCCATGAAATATGGGCTTGATATGTAAATGTAAATTTCCTCTTTAATTATGCAAATTACCCTCGCATTAACATGATATATGCATCGCGATGTATGTTAACTTAACTTACAGATGTCCCAAGTATGACATTCCCATTATTCACCATTAAGAAACCATAGAATTTTTGCATAAATTATGCAAATTAGGTCATCATTTGCATAATTAGTATCTGTTGATGTTCTGCCTGCCATAGGTTACATACATGTATGATAGTAGTATAATGTAAAACACTGTAATCATAGAATTTTCTCATTTATTATGCAAATAAAGTCCTCATTTGCATAATTTGCATTTAATCATGTACATCTCTCTCTCAGCTACCTACACACCAAAAATTATGAAAATATGTTGTTCCTATCTGGACTTATTGGCTTTTAAACATTTCACCAGAAAGTGCCCTGCAGTTCCAGAACAAGCTGCTAGGGGGACCAAACTCACATCACTTATTTCTGACAGGAAAAGCAATCTGTCACCAAAACATCAAGACCATAGCATGTTCAGGACAAAAGATACAAAAACCGGAAGTTCTGCTGCAGTACCAAGGTCATCCACCAGGAGGCCCATATTTAAGCTTGACGTTTGTCTTCCTAAGACTTACCAACATACCAAATATCATCATAATCCATAAAGGCGTTCTGAAGTTATGCTGACCACAAAGTTGCGGAAACACACACAGACAGACACACACACAGATAGACATACATACATACATACAGACAGACACACTAAAAACAATACCTCCATTTTTCATGGAGGTAATAAAATTGAAAACCAACTATCACATTTGCAGGCTCCCGGGGAATGCACTCATCAGTCAGACAGTTTTTCGAAGACCCGTCCTGCCAGTTTTCAGAGGCTGACCACCTCGGACCTCATGCCGGTGTTCATCGAGCTTGTTGTTGCCGCCATCTTGGCGCTGTGCATCATGGGAATCGAGGTGAAATGGGACAAGCGCACAGCTAAGGTAAAGTCTTCAACAAAAAGTGCTGAGCACTTTTCAAATAGTTAAAGAAGTTATAGGTAATCGTCACCTTCGTTGATTGCGTGTTAATGATAGAATATGGTATAGTCACCATTTAGGATAATAGTACTGTGGTAGAAGTTGTTGTAATGTTTTCATTATGTTTTGAACCCACGATGGTTCTTTTCGAGGCGATGTATGGCGTATCCAGAACATGCTCTATCTGACATTGTCCTCTATCTGACATTGTCCGCAATTGACACTCAAACCTTCCATCGTGCCTTCTCCCATAACAGCAACCCGATGCAGCACCTTCGGGAAAATCAGCAGGGCCGCGTGATGACGACAGAAAAGTCTGAGCGAGACACTCCATGTAGCCGGCGGGCTGCCTGGTCCTGAGAGAGACAACTAATGAAAGCTGATCATGATGGGATTTAAGAAACGTTAAGAAACCCACAAACAGTCTAGAAGCATATTCTTTTAAACTCCTTTTTTATTAAACCAGAAATACAGACAAGATGACAGCCCACTCAAGTTGATCAGACGTATGTCAGCGCCACCATCAAACAAAATAGATATAATACTACATAACCAAATGAACTCACACACACTATATATATATATATATATATATATATATATATATATATACATATTATGCACTGATTTTAACGTTATGATTTGAAATGTTATGGCTTAAATGCACGTTTTATAACATTACTGTTAAGACTTGTATGATGTACGTCAGAAACCCTTTTAACGTAGCCTACACTGGCTGCCAATATTAGTGACGATGCGACAGGTACTTTTAAAGTTACTATTGGAACCAAAGTAAACTCACGCCCCGAGGTTCAGGCGTCAAAGGTAAATAAAGAGGTCGTTTACCTGTACAAAGAGCATTAAAAGGACCTTTGGTGACTACAGGGCCTGGAACTTTGTATACTGTCAATGTCAACGTGAAAAGAGTATACTTTTAAGAGAGAATCTACATACCGCATAGCTAGTAATCTACTGGGTGTGACTCCTTCTAAACTAGAGGGCCCTCCGGCGTTTTCATATCATGCGAGGTCGACTACTGTGACTCTACATGGGTACTGAAGTCACACCCAGTACTTGTCTATCGTGGCCCTCTCGGATCCTTTCTCAAGGCCAAAAAGCACATGAGTCGCCCTAATGTATAATGCTATATCCTTGACCAATCCATATTTTGCTTTGATAATTTCTGAAGTTTACTCCCCCACACACATAAAAATGAAAGACAACATTCAACTGTCAACGTTAATTGATAAGTTAACCTATGTCTCCGTCAGTCAACGGAAATCGTAATACGAAGGTCAATACTGAAAACTAGATCTAGAACTTTACTCTCTCCGATCTTACTGTATTTGTACGTGGAAACCTCGTCTCCAGATGTGGATCTGAAGACTCTGAAGGAAATGATAAAAGCAAGGAACCGAACGTCCATGGCCCTCTACAAGGCTAACGACATGAAAGGTCTGGCTAAGCTGTACACGGAGGACTGCAAGGTCATGCCGCCTGGCAGTGGCACTGAGTACGGCCGAGACGGTGAGGAGTATGTATGTCAAGTTATGGAGCTAAATGCACTCTGGTGCAATGGGAAAATTATATATATATATATATATATATATATATA